TCAGCAGGGCTGATAAACCTTCACATCTTGCATGCAGCTATGCACCCACAGTGGCTCCTGTGCTTATATTCAAATGGCCAATTCTTGAATGTAAGAAAAACCACTGTCACTGAGTAACATTTTTTTCACTTGTCCACAGCTGAGCCGTGCTCCAGCCCCGGTGACATTGCCACAGCACCCGTGACGCCACCCACCAGCAACGCTGGAGAGGGCTCCACCATCACTCCTCCTTCGTCTGTGGAACGTTGTGCCCAGCACGTGTCCACGTAAAACCACCGACACGAGGCAGCGGTGCCACTGCACAGAGCTCACACCAGGCTCCTCCAGAAGCCAAACGTGCTTGTGTTTCCATTAAAATCCAGAAGAGCGCAGGGGGTTTACTTCTTTATGACATCCACGTGCTGTAAGGGCTGCTTGGTTCTCTGACACATTCCTGGACTAAGACAAGAACGTTTCCAGCTCTGGTCCCGTAGGCTGTTTGCACAGCTTGCTAGCACGGTAGCCTAAATACCGCTGTGGAAAGGAAGCTGCTTGCATTACATTAGCAAATCGCTTGCAGGCTCCAGGACATCGCCTGCAAAGGATCTGCTTCATACTCACAGCTCTCATCTCTGCAGCTCACTCAGCTCCTGCCAGCATAAAGGCTGGCACTTCCTCTGCCTAACCCTCTATCCCACAAAAAGACACCCTGGCAGCTGTTGTACTTCGGTGACATATCACAGTCTTTGTTTCCCGCAAACACAGGGTGTTCGGGTGGCATGTGCTTCACGCAGGAAGACACCCAACGCGGGCGCCACTTTGCTATCCCACGCTTACCAACACAATAAAACCCTCAGATGTAATTTCAGGTTTCAAAACATCTTCTCAACACAGAGCTGTGAGCGCCATCGACCCCTTGGTCCACTTGCTATTAATAATAAAGAGTGCTTGCTCCTGCGTAAATGCTCAAAAAGAACCCCAGAGGCAAGCTTTCAGCTTGCTTAAAGCAAAACTGGTGCAGCTGGGACCATCTGTAGCAGCCCAGGATCTGTTCCACCATGCTGGTGGATAAGCAAGGAGGACACGTCCCTCCTTCCCAACCAGCAGAGCCAAAACTGGTGGTGGATTATTTGTAATTACAGAGAACTGGAATACAATATCTTCACAGCATGCCCACATGGTTTCGATCAGTATTCAGACAGGTTTCTTCAATTCAAAGAACGTCAACTCTCAACTGTTTTAGCCGACCAGCACTAACAAAACTAATTAGCTGCTTTATAAAAGTCTTGTTGACAGCAGTAATTGCATTCTAATTAGCAAAAGGCAATTCTGCCTGGGTGGGAGCACTTCATCAGAGACGTGCTTGCTGACAGAGAGGTGTTTTTTGTCTTGTTCACCTGAGCGTTCCCCCTTGCCCTGTGTATTGCTTTACTGGGAATATAAACAAGAACACGGCGAAAACTGTACGCAGGACTGATCTTGAGAACAGGACAAAGCCCTCACAGCACAGCCTTCTGCAGCACAAATTTAAGTTTTAGTCAGATTAGCACATCTGAGCAGCAGACTCAGCACTGCCACTGCTGCTCTTCTTGGTTCAGGGAAACCAAGTTGCTTTTTACAGCTAAAGAAAAATAAATTTGTTTATACCTCTGGAGGGCACATGGCAGGCGAGAGGCAAAAAAATAAAAAAAAAAAAAAAATCAGGATCAGTGAATTTGCTGGCCAACAGGGTCACTGAAAGCAGGAGTAGGAGATCAGGGTTTGGAGGCTTTGCAGGAGGAGGGTGAGGATGCTCCTGCCGAGGGAAGCGCTGCTCTTCCTCCACAGCATCAGCACAGGCTGACTACAGCCACCACTCCCATGGGATTAAAGAAACGGCTCAAAGGCAGAAGTTTATCCAACTGTCACCCAGAGATTCTCAGAGCCAAGTGCTTTTGAGAACATTTTAAGCCGGATCACAAATGCAGATGTTGGTGACACCTACAGAGCCACCACCATAGATTTACGAGGTCGTAACACCTGATCCCGAGGAGAATGAGCTTAGTTTGCAGGCCAGGTAAACCTAAATCTTTGGTCCTGAGGCATATACAACAACGGCTTAAGACACCCCACGTTTTAAGAAAAGCAAAGCAGTGGCAGGGAGCAGGGTTTGGGGTTTTAGCTGTTAAACCAAAGCCCAGCCTGCTCTGGTATTACATTATGGTCCCTATACATAAGACAGAAAAGAGGAGGAGATGCTGTTTATAAAACATTTCAGCTTTTTTTTAGAAAAAATGTCTTAAGGAATGAGTTGCAGCTGGCACCATCCCCACTACTCTACAATGCACTACTCCAGTGAGTCACATCTCTCCTCTGCACCTACAGGGAGAAGCCACACAGAAATCCCCGCCAGACACGGCCAGTTCTGCAGCACAACCTACAAGAGCAACTTCAGCACTGGGTAAATAATTCATCATACAGCATCAATTATTCCTGCAGGTTACCTGCCATTTCTAATAAGCTCTAATCAGGCCCAGTTTTTACCCTGGAAAAAATGAGCTTCTCAAACACAGAGAGATCTTGATGTAGGTATTATTAAAGTCAAACTTCAGGGTTACTAGTCTTCCAACTGTCCCCACAGGTGAGAAAAGTGCCCATCTTGCCATCTTTGTAAGGACTCACTGCTGAGACACAGGGCTGACAACGCTCAGGTAATTTCCCATTCTCATCTCCTGTTTGACAAGAACCACCTCCTGCTTAACCTACTCCTAAACCCTCTCCCTTCATCGTGTTCCTGATTTTGGATGGCATTTGGAAGGTCACAGCTGTAAACCCAGAGGAAGGTGGCACAAAAAGGAGAAATCTAGATACAGGACACATCTGCTTGCAACATGCAGAGGGGGACTCAAAATTCGTAACGCAAAAAATATAATAAATGAAAGTTAACAAGCTGGCCTGTGCAGGGGGAGGCTTTGAAATAACACAGAGAAAAACAGATATTTCTTCCCTATACCACATACAAGGTCTGGTGGAAGTGATGATGCCTTAGAGTCACGGAGTCTCGATTTTGGCTGCTGGATGGTGCATTTTGACTTTGTAGAGCTGGATTTTCATACTAACTGATTAATAAGAGAGTCGCCCCTGGAAGGCTTAAGGTCATTTAGAGTCTCAACTCATTAACTGACAGCGAGAGACTCAAGGTCACAGGGAGGACCTTCTGGTCTGGTATTAAACAACAAGAACCTGAAATACCCTTGAAGTCTGTGTCGTATTTTAACCAGAGGAGTTAAGAACATGGCATGGAGGGGTGCACACGGCTGTTGTGCAGACGCGGGAGGAGACCAGCAAGGCCGGCACAGACAGAAACTGCCCAAGGAGGGAGCCTGGCCGAGCCAGGGCAGCTCTGCTTTGCCTAAAGGACACATGGATAGACGGAGATTAACGACTTCAGCACCAACCTGAAGGCAGACAAGGTGCTTCCAAGCAGAACCCTGAAGGCCACAGTGCCCAGAGTGACACCTGCTGCTTGATTATCCCCAATGTGCATATTATAGTTGACACCCTGACTGTGCTAATGAGCCCAGAGATGTATGTGCTAAATATCTATGGCTGTAGTCCCCGACTCTCCTCCCAAACCAGGCTAAACATCACCCCAGGAGAGGATATAGAGAAGGTTAGAATTAAAGGAATATGGAGGGAACACAACACTGGGGGGAACAAACCCAGCAGAGGCGGTTGATGGGCCGTGCTCCTTCTCCGCAACCCCCGACGGGGACGTCTTCTTGGTCAGAACTGAGCTTTCGCCTTTTGGTGAGAAATACCCGGGGTGGTATTTTGCCAGCATTATTATTATATATTGTGCTATTGCAGTGAGTGAATTCATCAACAGCAATCACAAAGCCGCTCTATCTGTCTCTTTAATAAACCACCTTCTCTTTGCTATCTTGCAAATTGTCTCAGTGCACGCCCTGAACAGGGCTCTGAAAGAGACAAGTGCGCAGCTCCGGTGCGTCCCTCCCACAGCCACATAACTTTCAGGTGACAGTCTGTATCACTGACACTTTTAATCCAACCCAAGTGCAGACAGATGCCCATGGAGAAGAAGAACCAGTGTAAAACCAGCTCAGTTCACACACAGAAGCAGGAAGTCTCCGATTTGAAGCTTGCTTGCCAAGTGCTCGTTAACTGCGGGCATGACCTGCGGAGAAGCCTGCACAGCCCCACGGGTACTGCTTTTATGCTTCCAACAGTGCACCAAGTTCACAAGCCTTGGGACTAACACAGACTTTAAACCCCAAGGTGCCAAAAAGCTCTCTACCAGGAGACTTGGTTTTCGAGGTCAGTTGGTACATCTCCGTTGGCACCTGATGCAATGAGGTGTCAACAAGTTTTTAGTACAGCACTCGGGCGAAGAAAGGTACACGGCACAAAATCTTGTAATACGGGAGCGACAGCATGCATGATCATCAATAATGCGTTAATTTGTTTATATTACATATTGGTAGCAGTGTAAAACAGCTCTAGAGCAGCTGGAATGTCTCAGAGTTCATGTTAGATTCCCAGCATTGTATATGAACCCTATTTGCTGCATACTAATTATTAATTAAAAGTCACAGGACTAGGTATGACAGACTATGGCCATCCTTGTACAGCACGCTACCCACAATATACAAACTTTACTGCTGACTGTGGCTTTTGAAAACACCTTCAGTGCCAGGCACTGGGTGGGGATCTCCAAACAAGAGTCAAGTGAGATTTAAAATGCCCCATAACCAGCTATTCCTGATTTTTGCTCTCAGTGATTAAAGAGAGGACCAGCAGGTGTGGAAAGCGTTTTTCTGAAGCACCTCAATGGGATACAGACATCAGGGTGGAAGAGAGCATCCACACATCCACACCTGGGTGCAACCGCAGCCCCCAGCAGCCTCACCCCTCCTCTTTCCCCTTATTCCCTCCTCCAAACCTCATTTATTTCCCTTTTTTGCTGCTGTTCATGTAGGTGACTCCAACCACTTTTGCACAGGTGACCTGCTGTGGCACAGCACAGGAACACGAGCGTGAAGCTCACTCTTTGGAAAGCAGCGGTGCTGATTATCTGCAGTCCCGTTTCTTTTACCTTGCTGGCTTTCAGGATGTTGATCTGTTCCTCATACACGGTGTCCCTGTTCTTCTCCAGAAAACCCTCGCTCTGGTATTCTACCTAGCAGGAGACAAAGGAAAAAGCCCAGAGGGTTAAGTTCAACCACCCAGGGACAAGGTGCTGTGTCCCATCACTCCTCTAATGTTAGGAGCTCACATGAAAAACCTGATGGGGAGAGGGGTGGAGGAATGACTGGAATTTAAAGGTCACTTTTTATCAAAGAAAGCAAACCTGAAAGAAAAACCTTTGCTGCGAGCACAGACTGTTTCTCAGTCATTGAACTGCTCTGTATGGGACCCAACCACACTTCCATGGAAACCAGGAGTAAAAATGCAAAGATCATCAGTGCCTCGATACGCTCTTTTGTTCACTCCTGAACTCCTCGTATGTTAATCGATAAACTTCAAAAGATGCCCTGCCTACGTCTCTTGTTCATCTGTTGTTTTTAAAATTGCCGAAGTTTGAGATGCAAAGAAAGGAGGGAGAAAATTATTTTATTTTTACACTTGAAGTTGGCTGAAATAACTGACCACACAAAAAAAAAGAAGGAAAACGCAAAGAGATTATATTTCATGAAGGATCCATGTGCAAAATCACATACTTATGGGAAGGTGAGTAGCAACCTTTGCCACAAAAATGCCACTTGCACCCAGGACAAACACCTGTACAGGATCACAGCATCTGCATGTTGTCTCGCTCCTCAGACACATCCCCACGTCGGTCTTACGTTTTCCCATCTAACAAGCGTGTGTTTTGGCTAACTCCAAGCTTTTAAAATTCTTATTTGCTGTGCGTGACACCTGTCATACCAGGATTTCGATGAAGCCAGAGCCCGTGGACAAGACTCTACACCACCAGACAGTGGGATTTAGAGCCCCACAGTTTGTGTTTTCTCCTGAAAAAGGGTGGGATCAGCCAAGGGTCACCTCTCACACACTCCTCCCCACCATGCCTTGCTTACACTCACAGCTCCCGCTCTTCAAAAATAATTCTCTTTCCCAATACATTTTCAGTCAAGTTGCCCTTACAGAAATTCATTTTGCTGCAGCTTTGAGAAAGAGGATTTGTCTCTCCTCTAGAGAGCCCAACTATTTGAAGCTTAGCGCAATAGTTCGAAGGCTGAAGTCCTCCAAGCTGATCTAGATATGAGCAATGAACCAAGATTACTGCCAACCAGGCATGCCTATCACCAAAAAACAGCTCAGGGGCACTATAAACTAGTTTTCCTTCACGAGGCTCTTTTTTCCCCCTCCATGCATTTCCAGTTCTTCCGTTCAAGTCCCAGGGCACCCAAGACGAACCCAGTTACCTTATCGGCGAAGTGCACGACGATGAAGGAGGTGTTGGACATGCGGGGCTTCTGGAAGTGCTGGCTGCCCGCGTGTCGGTCGTACAGCTTCTGCGCCCAGTTCTGGTCGGTGCCTTTGGGAACCTGGATGGAGAGAAAAAAGGGCCAAAAAGTCGTGGTCAGCCACGCAAAGGAGGTGCGAGGGGGTTTTGGTGCTTCCTGTAGTCCACGCGGGCTTTATTTCTCAAATCTTCCTGTAGTTCACATGGACTACAGGAATATCTGTTCCTCAGTTCTAGGAGCATGTACCTTTATTTTCAGGTATATTCTTGACAAGCACACTAAAATTCTGTTTCCAGTGAGAAATGCTCATTCTCCTCCAACAGCCAGAACAGCTCTTGCAGGAAAAAAAATAAAATTAAAGAAGTATTTTTTGCACTGATTGTTCAAGCACTAACATTACTTTTTTAATGCAATTTTTGGTGACCGAATAGTTTCACGAACTGCCACATGAGACAACATGTAGGAACTTCCGCTTTGTTTCATTTGAAACAACCACAATAATATTTTAAATTAAAACTAGGATAATAATAAAAAGATAACCGCCGCACCTCAGCAGGCTTGGGGTGGGGTCACCTGGATCCCAAAGGGAGGATGCGTTAACCCCAGCTGCACACAGGGGTGGGAATTCAGACCCATGTACCTGCCCCACTGCAGAGGAAACGTTCCCGGGTCCCTCTCCCACACATCCAACCTCCTGTGCCAGGCATCTCCTGGTTGTCAAACCCTCCTTCTGCATCCTATTCACACAGAAATCGGGGTGGAAGCCCAACAAAGAATTGTCCTTGAACAGAGCTGATGATAAGTGCACCAAGATAACAGGCGCAGCCTAAGACATTGCTTTGGAGAAGAGAACAGAGAAATCTTGAGAAACTGCAATGACTGAAAAAAAAAACCCCAAAATACCACTCAGCACTACCTGTGCAGCAAGGGGATGGGCTCCTTTTCACAAATCAGCACACCTACAAGGAAGGTTTAAGCTTACCTGCCTACTCAGCACTATATATTGCCAAAATCAGGGGGAAAAAAAATTAAAAATGGTTTTCTTCTATTATTTTATAAGCATATAGCCGTACGCCAGCATATGACAACGTATTGTAACTCCTGATAATCTCATGATCACACTTCCCATAAAGACTATGGGAATGTTTAGGTTCCTCTCCACTAACCAGCCCAAACCCCCAAAGCCTTCCAAAAGAGATCACAGCACACAAGGAAAGCATTATGGCTGTAAATATCTGTTATTTTGTACTTTTCTCGCACATTAAGTTTGCCACAAAGAAAAATTCTTGAAAACCAAAGGAAACAAGGAGTGGGGTTGTTACACTTGAGGGTTGAGGACCACATCTGACAGGCTTCATCCCCATCCCTCCTATCTGTCTGGCAGGGATGGGGAAATCATGGGCTCGTGGACCTTCCATCACTGCTTCCCATGACAGGCCAGCAGTGGTGACACGTTATTTTTAAACAAATGACCGATTGGATTATTCAGGTTAGAAAAATAGAAGAGTTAGAAGAAAAGCATTTGGCAATATTTAACGATAAAAGCCGGGAAACCCCAGAACACTGATGCAGGGAAAGCATAGACCTTCGGATGAAAAGCGACAGAGGAAACACGGACAGCAAACAGTGAGGAAGAAAACTTGAGATGGGTGAGGAATATTTCTTCACGCTGCTTTGAAAGAGCTTTTGATTTCATGTCAGACAGTCAAAACATGCCAGAAGGCTTCTGGACACAGGGAAGAGCAGCTCCTGCCCATCCCATCAAAGAAGTGGATAAATTAAATGCAGCAGCCACTCAGGTAAGCTCTGCTATCCCAGATGTATTTATATTTTACAGTTTTAAGTGTAGCCAATTACAGATACGCACAGAATTACAGACAATATATAAATATTAAAAAGCATTTATTTATGCAATTATGTACATATTTTATTTAAGCAAGACAGGCATGCCTGTTTAAACTACAGACTTAGATGAAAGCAGATGAGTTTCTTTTCATCAGTTATATTTCATATTTATATGTAACGAAACCCACCCTTTCTGGAGCTATCTTCAGGCCTCTCTTGGTCAGGACAGAGCCGCGGGTGCGGAGAGGCAGCACCACTCTCAGCCTCTGAGAGCAGATTTTTCCTGCACCAGCTCTTCTAGGCCATCCACTTTGCTGAGAAAACTGCTTATCTCAGAGCTGAACTTCAAAGGCGTCGCTCCTGCCTCCCAGTAAGAGGGTTTTCGCCATACCCGCACCCCTCCCTGCTCACCGTTGCACAGCCTGAGTATTTTTAGCCACATGAGAAGCACCTGATAGGCACCAAGTCTTGGATGTAAAAACTAACAGGGCCATTATCTGTACTACTGTAACAGCTTTAGGTATTGCCTTCGCAGTTTAAGTCCTTTAGACGCACTGAGAAAGTGATTTTGAGACTTTATCTCATCACCGCAAGACTTTTCTAGTGGGATGGGGAAGAGGAAAATTGGCTGCCTTGAGAGTATTGCATGGAAATCTCCAAACAGGAAAAACCTCAGACCAGTAATATCACTAGGGCATCGTTTCTGCTCGTCTGTCCTCACTGTCCCTTCACTCATCACTCTGCATAAAAGCAATAAGGGAAGTGTGATCCCGGCCAGTGTCACCTCCTGTCCCCACAGACTGCCCTCTGAGATGCCAGGAGCTACTGCAACCTTAATCAAACCTTGGAAAGAGTCCTGAGGTTGGCCCCCAGGCTGGACTCAAGAGCTTTTGATTCAGAAGCATCCCGGGGTCAAGAACCCACCAGAACCACCAGACAGCCAAGGAGATGTTTGGAGCTGCTTGGACTAAAGGGCGAGATTCCCTTCATCATCTCCTCCATGAGAAGGATGGATAAAAGCAATAAATGTTCATTCAGACATAATGATCTAGAAGTCAACCCTCTGAAAACACAGCAGGAGCTATTTAGCTTTTAACTCTTTTCTCCTTATCACTCCCATGTACGTTAAAGCCTGAAGAGAATCTGGGCTTCCTCCACGCTCCAGACACATTCCACTGCAAGTGATGTGCCTGGCTTTAAAGTCATAAAACCTGAGAGCAGGACGTAGGCGAGGTTATTCTGCCGTCAGATTAGGAGGTCCATCCGAAAGGAAAGCCTAGAGGTCCAACCTCCACATATCTGCTGGTGGAGCAGAAATCCCCCCAGACAGGACTAGGTGGCACAGGAAGGCAACGTCCTGATTTCTGATGTTCAAAAAACTAACGAGTCCAGACAAGGAAAACACATTTGCTCAAATTCCCAAGTTCACAGCGATGCACAGAGACAAGCGGGACTGAAAACCCAGTCTGCTAAGAAGCAGACTTCAGTGTTTCTGGCACTTGACGGAAGGACACGGGAAAGGTTAAAGAGCATCTTTTGAACAGCATTAGAAAATGCATTTGGCAGGTTAACAGTGAAACGTGATGGCAACATGCCATAAAATGCAAAGTCGATTCACGGAGAGAGTTGGAGAACATGAGGGAGCTCGTGGGTTTGGTTAGACACACACCTCTCCGGCAGCATCAGGTTCATGCTGCTCCTCACCAGAAAGAATTTCACAAAGATCCATAATAAATGTTTGGACAAAGATGTTGCGACTGACAACACATCAACCCTTCCAACCAGCTCATGCTTGATCAAATCCTTTTAGACGCACTTGATGCTAACAGAAACATTTTTTCATTAGTTTTTTCATTCTTCCTCCCACCCCCAACAGCACAGCCAAAAGTAAGAGAGCAGCTAGGCAGCAGGACACCTTATGGAGAAACCTGGACATCCGCAGCAACTTCTGACCGTACTCCCGAAGGACACTTGGGATGCGTATGGAAGACACGTAACACTCCCACAGAACAAGCAGTCTCAGCTGGAAAAGCAGGACACCTCAATCCAGCTTTGACAAAAAGCCTTGACTGCATTTCTTAGAGTTTTCAATTTTCTCTGAGGACAATTTAAGTCTCTTTAAGAAAATCAACCCTGACTGCCTTTTCCTCTCCAGAGGAAAGGTTGCTCTTGAGGTTACTCTTCCTGTGTTTCTTCCAACAATAAAGCCTTCAAAGACTTCTTAGGAAGTCTGTTGTCCCCTCTGCCAAAGTCATTCCCTCTACAACAAGGTCAACCATACCCTAAAGTCATCCCAGACATCCATGCAAGTCTTTCACATGTCCTCCCAACTTTCCACAACCACATTTTCCTAAAACAATCTCCCTCCCTAAAGCCTCTCTCTTCCGGCAGGCTCTGTGTTGACCTCCTTGCTCTCCTCAGGGGCTGATTATTTCTCACCACCACCATTGACCCTATGGTGACTGTCCCCATATCTCATAGCTGACCAGCAAAGAGGTTCTCCTGGATGCTCTTTTCCCCTTTCCCTCCTCTTCAGGCTCATGAGTTTGCGCTAGAGGACTTACTTCAGTGTTTTGCCTGTCCTAGTGGTCTCAATACCTGGCCAACGACATTTCTGTGCACGAGACACAAACTCTTGCTGTTCCTCCAGCATCCTTTTACACTAAAGCAAAACCAGGCAGTCCTAAAAGCTTCAGATGCACACAGGTCACTCTCCAGTGCAGGAAATGGGAAGAGACTCTTTGAGGACTCGCAGGTGACTTTGTGGGACCGTGACCTTATGTCCTCTGCTGAGATTTACAAGGCTTCCTGGGCTGACCAGCCACATAAGGGAGATTAGACCAAACGGCCTCCAACTTTAATAAGTTGCACAACAGCTTACAACTTCTAATGCCTCAAAGCTGTTTAAAACCCCTCAAACTCACGTATATCCTAAAGCCCTCTTTCTTTCAGAGCTGGGGACCTATCGTTTGCTATCATGAGACAGGTCTAGTCCTTAAAACTCCCATCTCAAATCAAGAGCCCTCTCTTTCACTGATGATCCCCATTTCAACCCTGTCTGATCCCCTTCTCTGAAGGGTGACAAGGCTCGTATGACCTCTGTTAGCTGAACTGCGTTCAGCACACACCCAGACAACCCCTCCCTAACCCCAAATGCAAGATCAAAAAACAAAATCCATACTATGAAGCAGGAATATTAGTGACAAACCCTCCACATTTGCACGAAAGTTCCATTACGTTGCCAGGACCCCCTCAATGCCATTTGAAGCCCCAGAGTATATTTAGCCACCACTGTAGGTGCATTAACGAGATGACTTGCAATTACCCTGTTGGGGTCCCACGCCTGCCATGCTTAGCTCTCCCTAAGAGGTGAAATCCTGTTGCAGGGGGTGAAAGTTTTCATCCATAAACTGATGCTTTGCTGAAATTTTCATAAAGCTGGAGAATGGTTGCAGGTTATTATAAAAGAGTCAATTAGAGAGCCTGTAATAAGGGCCTGTGACTAATGACAGCATTCCCCACTGACAGGTTAAATACTGAGATAATTGACATTTGATGTGGGGGGAACAGATCTTGTGTTTCACTTTTTTTGGTCAGAAAAAGGCATGGATGAGAAAAGCAGTACCTGGAAGACCTACAGCACTGTTGGCCATACTGCTGCTGTTGCACAGGAATTTCTCCATCTAACACAATGTGACCAGCAGCCACCAGTGCCCGGTGCTTCAGAGAGGGGTAAAGGGTGTTACCAGCCGACATGGCACTAGGGAAACTTTCCTTATGGTCCCCACAACACCCAGGAGCTGCTTCAAGAATTTAACAGGCTTAAAGGAGCAGAGACTACACTAAATAGTGCTGAACAACAAAGTAAATGATCTGACCTCCTTGTGAGCCAGCGCTACCAGGATGGTATTTTTAAGGAGACCAAATCAAGTTTGTTCCCATTTTTAAGGACTTTCCCAAGACTTGATTCTAGAAGGGCGAAGCCCCAACTCCAGTTGTTGCAAAGAGGCAGCCAGAGTGTCTGTAGCCCAGGCGAGGGCTGAGCGTGTGGGACGCGCACGTTGGGACAGCCCCATGCTGCCTGGGAAGGCTGCCCCGTCACATGGAGGAGAGCAGCTGCTTGACAAGTCACCTCCCTCCCAGACAAGGACAGGTCATACATCTCCTTAAATCCCAACAGGGACAGTAATCTAAATGATGGATCCAAAACCTTTCCCTCTGATGCAATGTGACACTCCTGTCCTCAGGCCACCCGAACTGTCCCACACCCATGGATCCCTCAGAGCCAACAAGAATTCGCTGTGTCCTTATCGACTATCCTGGCGAGGGGCCTCTTCCCTGCTTCAGCTCTTCCACCACCCTTTGTCTCACCCTTCCCCGTCCTCATTCAAAAACCCTCAAAGCCCTTCCACCATCAGTAAGACATTTCTGGCACAGAATATACCCAAGTCTTTACAGAAACTCTTCCCGAAGACAACTCCTTGATCACACCACAGTAAAAGCAGTCTGAGGCTCGACACGGCAGCCACATCCAACAGGAAGGCGGCCCCCGGCCCCCTCCCACAGGCCG